CTTTCCTTGCATTTGCGCCACCATTCCCGCTGCTTATCGGAATTCACAGCGGATTTCATTGCCCTGGAAGAGCTGGAGCTCCGTGGCGGTCGCATTCCGGCGACGGTGGTGATGACGTTTCCGGCTCTTTGATGTCGTTGCGCCCGTGAATTGAAGCAGATGGAAGAGCGTTGGTCATTTAGCCGATCGACAGGAGAGCGCAAATACATATCGACTTTTAAATTGGTTGTTTAAAAAACCAAAAACACACATCGCCATGTGTTTTTGTGTACGTCTTGCTCAACAGATATGTAACATAAATAAGGTTAGCAATATTTCGGCCAGGAAAACGTAAGCTCAACAACAGCTCTCGTAGGAAAACAAGCAAAGTCACCAATTAGACTTGGAAACCCGTCGGCAACAGTCCCGAGTCCTTGCCTTCACCCTCAGCGTTGCTGTTCACAGATGCCGCTCGTTGGCCGCAGGAGTGCCCCGGAGTTTGCAGCCCTCGCCCTGTGGGAATGAAAACGAGAACAGAGAGGGCCCTCCTGATTTGCCCGGGAACGTTGCCAGTTCTTCCAAGGGACGCTCAGTCGAGCTGACTCGTCTCTTAGAGGCCGAGATGCTGGGATGGTGGCCGAAACGGTTTGAGCATTTTTATATCTAAACTTAAACTCTTCATTTTACCAGTTAAGGCTCACTGAGCTATGTAGCTCTTTTTAAAAAGTGACTTCGTCACAAAGATAGGTCAACAAAGTGGCTTATCTTATGGATATTTAGAACAGCCAAATACTCGAAACGCGTGTTTCTAAATGTGGAGGGAAAAAATTAACCCGTAAAAACAAAGTTTTTCACTATAAATCCTTTATATGCGTGGCATCGGTTGTATTTTATTATTCATTTTTGTTTTTCTTGAGTAAGAGTTTCATTTTTATCACATTGGTATTTTAAATTAAATATGATTTTTTTTCTTCCTAAAAAGTGGAAATAAATTGTCACGCACCAACGAGTCTGTGTGCAAAATGTCAGCTCGATTGGATCACTGGGAAGTGGGTTAAAAAAACGATCGAAAGATTTGCACGGTCGTAAGCGTGCAAGCAAGCAAGCAAGTGAACTTAATATAAAGGATTTAAAAAAACAGAGAACCCTGGAGAAAAATTCACGGGACCAATTGGAGAACATGCAAACTCCAAATATGCAGCTTCAGGGTTGGGATCGAACCTACGCCCTCCTGTATACCAGGCGACGAAGTTAGCATCTCGCCACCATGGTGCTAAATTTTCAGTTGTGTATGTGCATCACTGCCAGCCAGCGTGGTATCGCACACTCTGTCTTTTGTTTCTTCTCCAAGGGAGACCGAGGATTGAGAGAGCGATATTTCTCCTAAATAAATGTTTTGAAAGCCTCGTCCATTCAGAAAAAAAAATCCCATTTGTATGCGTGCACTCATACGTCTTTAGGGTATAATGCAGGCAGTATTTAAAAGCCTTCTGGCCTTTGATATCCAGCAAAGTATATCTTCCTGTTAATGGCTGTCTCTTGCTATTTCTGGGTCCCATCGATTCACGCTGCAATTCACTCAGTGAGGCATTAGAATTTTCATTACGTTAGCGGTGCTGTGATGTGACTTGGGAAGTGCACGGGGGCAACGCGACTCGGTGTGCATCCTTCTCACCCTCTCGCTTTCTCTCGTCATGGCGAGCATCTCCCACCGGTCTACACACTCGCCCCTACCTACCTCTGCCCTCTCATCTCACTTCACTCCCCTCCACACACTCTCCTACCTCTCCCCTTTCATCTCACCCGACTCCCCTCCACGCACTCTCCTGCCTCTCCCCTCTCATCTCACTCCAGTCCCCTCCACGCACTCTCCTGCCTCTCCCCATTCATCTCACTCCACTCCCCTCCACGCACTCTTCTACCTCTCCCCTCTCATCTCACTCCACTCCCCTCCACGCACTCTCCTACCTCTCCCCTCTCATCTCACTCCACTCCCCTCCACGCACTCTCCTACCTTTCCCTCTCATCTCACTCTACTCCTATCCACACACTCTCCTACCTCTCCCCTCTCATCTCACTCCAGTCCCCTCCACGGACTCTCCTGCCTCTCCCCATTCATCTCACTCCACTCCCCTCCACGCACTCTCCTACCTCTCCCCTCTCATCTCACTCCACTACCCTCCACGCACTTTCCTACCTCTCCCCTCTCATCTCACCCCACTCCCCTCCACGCACTCTCTTGCCTCTCCCCATTCATCTCACTCCACTCCCCTCCACACACTCTCCTACCTCTCATCTCACTCCACTCCCCTCCACACACTCTCCTGCCTCTCCCCTTTCATCTCACTCCACTCCCCTCCACACACTCTCCTGCCTCTCCCCATTCATCTCACTCCACTCCCCTCCACACACTCTCCTACCTCTCATCTCACTCCACTCCCCTCCACACACTCTCCTGCCTCTCCCCTTTCATCTCACTCTCCTCCACGCACTCTCCTACCTCTCATCTCACTCTACTCCCCTCCACGCACTCTCCTGCTTCTCTCCCCTCATCTCATTCCACTCCCCTCCACGCACTCTCCTGCCTCTCACCTTTCTCATCTCACCCACTCCCCTCCCCACACTCTCCTGCCATCTCCCCCTTTCATCTCACTCCACTCCCCTCCACGCACTCCTCCTGCCTCTCCCCTTTCATCTCACTCCACTCCCCTCCACACACTCTCCTACCCTCTCATCTCACTCCACTCCCCTCCACAAACTCTCATGCCTCTCCCCTTTCATCTCACTCCACTCCCCTCTCACGCACTCTCCATACTCTCAATCTCCACTCTACTCCTCCTCCACGCACTCGCACTGCCTCTCTCCCCTCATCTCATTCCATCCCCTCCACGCACTCTCCTACCTCTCTCCCTCTCATTTCCACTCCACTCCTCTCCCCCTCCACGCACACGTCTCCTGCCCTCTCCCCCTTCTCATCTCACTCTACTCCCTCCACACACCTCTCTACTTGTCTCTCCCCTATTCATCTCACTCCACTCCCCTCCACGCACTCTCCTACCTCTCCCCTTTCATCTCACTCCACTCCCCTACACACACTCTCTCCTGCCTATCCCCTCGCTCCTAGCTGTTGGGTCTGCTCTCCCTGTCAAGAGGCTGGCTCTTCAAATGTGTCCCCTCTTTGTCGAGTGAGTGAGCGGGCCTGACTGGGGCAGTGGGTCGTATTAAGTGGCTCATGATACCACTGAAAAAGGAATTTAGTTTTTTGATGGAGCGGCCCTCCTCTTTATACAGGGGCGTCTAGGCGATAAGCGGCTCGCATCTCGTCTAAACTCAACACGTTCCAAAGGGTACCCACCAGTAGCAGCTGTCGCTGCGGGGCACAAGGTGACTTAGTATGTATGTTTTAAACTTATTTTGCACCGAACGTAAACAACCGTGCTAATCGGAGATTCGGAGGTGCGGGGTGGGGGAAGACGACATACTAAACACAAAAAAGTTAACGGACATTCGTCTCAATCTTGATTTGAAGCTTTCGTGACTGCAGGAATCCATACTCTTTGGTTCTTTCGGTAAAGTCACGTAGATAGAAAATTAATAGATCACGACGTTTCGATCGCAACACAAGCAACCGTCAGCAAGGTGAGACAAACACAGCTCCTACGTCAGCAGTTTTCCTGCCGTGTTTGCCTCACCTGATGACGGTTGCTTGTGTTGCGATCGAAACGTCGTGATCTATTAATTTTCTATCTACGTGACTTTACCGAAAGAACCAAAGAGTATGGACATTCGTCTGCCAGTGGGGGGGGAGGGGGGGGCGATGATTTCTGCTCGTGTGTAATGCCAATTGAGTAATTCGCAGGTGATTATGCGCATTCGGGCTATGACGGCGGCAACACAATGGCCGACCCATCGGGAATGACGTCAGGGGAACTTGCCACGTCCAGCTGTGTGAGGCAGATGGCGCGCGAAGTGTTTTTACGGTTTACTTCGCCCCGCCGTATTAACCAGGGCGGGCGCCAGGGTTCAAACCACGGCAAAAAAAACCTCGCTTTCCGTTGGGCCACGAGTTGAGCTGCGCTCGGCTCGATCAGCAGGGTCGTCGCTGCTCTCTGTCCGGCTGTGCCACCCTCACTCCACGCGGCTCGCATCTCCAAGCGGATCGGCCGCCCGATGAGTTTGCGACCGTGTCGCTGTTCCAATTTCATCGTCACAAGGACTCGCAAAACCTATTTGGGAAGTATACTCTTAGGTTTTTTCGGTCAAGTCACGTAGGTACAAATAAATAATAAAAATAATAGAAATAATAATAGAAATAAAATAATAAATCACGACGTTTCGGAGGCAACACAAGTCTCCGTCATCAGGTGGGAAGGTGGGACCGTCACAGCTAAATTTACTGTATCAAATGAGTAAATTTAGCTGTGACGGTCCCACCTGATGACGAAGACTTGTGTTGCCTCCGAAACGTCGTGATTTATTATTTTATTTCTATTATTATTTCTATTTTTATTATTTATTTGTACCTACGTGACTTGACCGAAAAAACCTAAGAGTATGAATCTTTGCAGTCACGAAAGCTTCAAATCTAGAACTAATTGGGAAAGCCTGCGCATGCGGCGCCATCGCCGGTTGTGCCTGCCGGACTTATTGCCCACTCGCTGTCCCCCCCCCCCCCCCCCCGTGCGCTGCTTTCACCGTTATTCCGCGTACGGACGGCAGCCACTGGGTGGTCCCCCATATGCTGGACCGCCGTGGGGCGCCGAAATAGTCGAGACGAGATGGGGGAGGCAAGGCGGTTTGAAATGCCGAGGCAGGTAGGCACGCGCTGCATGCACGCAAATCCTCACCCTCCGCCTGGTGCCACACGCTTGGTGCAGGCCATCTCCTTGTGAGAACAGACCCAGACAGAAGCTCCCGAAGGACAGCGTCTCATTTAGCATGCAGGATCATTTCATTCACTCCCTAACGATGTCGTTAATTGCAGCTTTGTGGTGTTTTTTTTTCTCACCTGCGGTTTGCAGCGCGTGTCCCCTCGGAGGATGACAAGACGGATGCAAGGGTGGCGAAGGTAACATTCTTAATTATTCCGCTGTCCCAGGGTACAACGATCCCGATTAATGCGTCGATTCATCAGTGACTCTGAATCGTCATCGTAATCAATCACGGTCAATCTTTTGTTGAATGAAAGCTTCCCCAAGCCAGAGCCATCGTCCATAATCCCACAATGCAACCCAGCACTTGCGCACGAGACGCGTCCCATTCCATGGCTGCCATTCCGTCACTATCCTTGGCCTGGCCATCAACCCTTCTAAGTGACGTGTATACGCAGGGGCTTAATTTGAGACGGGTCAATCCAGGTCCGGCGATCTCGAAGATATTCCCGCATCTGGCACACAGCCACCAAATGTACCTCTCACGATGGCTGTGTCTACAGCCAGTCACGTGACACCGACTCGAGTCTACCAGCGACCCGCAAAATATTCAGTTGAGGAATTTAGGCCCCAATTGCGAGTAATGGATTTGCGGTTGATACGGAGAGATCGGATGATTGCGGATGAAGCTATATTGGAGAAAAGTAACGGCAATATCAGTTGCAATCCACGTGGCCTTTAGTTAATGGTTAAGCGATGCATTTGTTTTCCATGCAAATCGCCCCACAGTGTATACCACGTGCTTAATTAATTGCACTAATTTGCGACGTTAGGACCGCTATTGGGAGTCTTCGTTTAGAGATTTCCGCCGTCTGCCGTTGATTGTGGTGAGGTGATTGTGGTGAGGTGATTGTGGTGAGGTGAGTGTGGTGAGGTGAGTGTGGTGAGGTGAGTGTGGTGAGGTGAGTGTGGTGAGGTGAGTGTGGTGAGTGTGTAGAGGTGAGGTGAGTGTGGTGAGGTGAGGTGAGTGTGGTGAGGTGAGTGTGGTGAGGTGAGGCCGGTGAGGTGAGGGTGATGAGTAATTGAGCGACCGGGGGGGGGGGGGGGAGACCTGGGGCGGCTACTGACACCTGTCAGAAGCCAAATTGAACGCACATTTTTATTAACATTATTAAAACGAAACTATTATACCAGGTAAGGCCCCACCTAAGCTATATAGCTCTTATTTCAGAAGCGACCTTGCCACATATGATAGCTCAACAAAGTGACTTGTGTTAATATTTATAGCACCCAAAAAGTGTAAACGCGTGATGTTGATCCTAAACGTGGAGAGAAAACCCGGAGGACCCCTAGAAAATCCCACACGACCACAGGGAGAGAGACATGCAAACTCCAAATATACAGGCGTCAGAGTTGGGATTGAACTCACGACCTGTATACCAGGCGAGGTAGTTAACATCTCACCATCGTGGCGCCTACGGTATGAAAGATCTGTACGTAGCCAACCGTCCTGTAGTTTTGTGTGTAGTTAATTCTGACTGGGCTGGGATCACTGACTCACTGTGCTTTAATCCCGGGGGGCTGAAACCCAAATATGAATTCTGGATTTGAAGCTTTCGTGACTGCAAGGATTCATATTCTTAGGTTTTTTTTGGTAAAGTCACGTAGGTAAAAAATTTAAATTAATAAAAGTAAAATAAAATCAAAATCAAAATCACGACGTTTCGGAAGCAACACAAGCTTCCGTCTTCAGGTGGAACAGTCACAGCACGATAACTGTATCAAGTGAGAGTCTCACTTGATACAGAGTCTCACTTGATACAGCTATCGTGCTGTGACTGTTACACCTGAAGACGGAAGCTTGTGTTGCTTCCGAAACGTCGTGATTTTAATTTAATTTTTATTTTACTTTTATAATTTTTTACCTACGTGACTTTACCGAAAAAAACCTAAGAATATGAATTCTGGATTTCATGCGGTTCTGGCTCCAGCGCCCTAGCGTTTAAACCGCTTGGCCACCGATCTGAGTCGCGTATTAAATTCCACCCAAAGCCGGCAAAACGAGGGAACACATTGAGTGAACCGCGAGTGCGTGTTCCTTCCTGTGTTTCAGTGAGCCACAGAGATCCAGATTGTCTTGTCCAAGCCATACGGTCTTGGACACATTTTTTTTATTGCTCACTCCACTCTTCTCATTTGATTATATCCAAGGAGTGCACTTCCTTAACAGCACGTGTTATTCGGCGGGCGGATGTGGTACTTTTTGTGCCACCACTCTAATTAAATTGACGCGACCAGGCCTGACCTTGATCCAGTTGTGTCCTCTCGTGAATTTCTATTTTACAATCATTGTAATTTATTCCAGTTGTGCTCTGTCATGTAGGAATGATTTTGAGATTTTAAAAAAGATTCTGAGGCAACTTTTGGATCTTTTTTTCAGATTAACAGATTGTTTGCGTTATTAAAGAATGTAAACGTATCTTGGTGCCGACAAAAAATCAACGCAACACTTTGCTTAAGAATGCCACGTTTGGCAGGCGACGTTGATTCATACTCTCATCCGAAACGATATGTTTTGCCAGTTAATCCGGGTTATTCATACCTAGGCCCGATTCTCAGATTTTTCGGATAAATCCGAAAATAGAAAGCACACTCATTCCTCCTTTCATCTGCGCACAATGCGATGAAGAAATATCTCCGTTCACAACTCTCGCAGGACAATGGCCGCTTTCTGAGATGTTGCAGACCCACTTCTGAGACCCCTTCACGTGATAGATCTTCCACATGCAAAAAGGGGTGATGATGGCTTATGTAGATAGGGCTTCATTCATTCAGCAGTGGATAAATCATGACTGATTAGGATAATAAGAATGTGGGGTTAAAATACTTCGATTTAAAGCTTTCGTGACTGCAGGGATTCATCTTCTTGGTTCTTTCGGTAAAGTCACGTAGAATGTAAATAATAAAATAATAAAAACAAAACATAATAAAATAATTCTCACGACGTTTCGGCCACAACGCAAGCAGCCGTCCTCAGGTGGAGAACAGGTAATTATTTTATTATGTTTTTTTTTTTATTATTTTATTGTTTCCATTCTACGTGACTTTACTGAAAGAGCCAAGAAGATAATTAGCATACAGTGTAAAACATTTTTTCACAATATTTTACTTGGCCACGTCGGACGAGCGGCAAAATAATAAAAACTGATTAATATAAATAATGAATCCTGAATTGAAAACGGAGAAGGGAAATGCTTTGACTGTCGGAGCGAACAGGCCACTCATCAATCCTGCTAAAAGCCTGTCGGCCAAGTACGCGGCGAAGGTGTCCGATCTGGATTTTAATATTCTGCCTTTTTATTTTGGGTACATTTGGTTGTGGCTATGTCGGCAATAACTGAACTATATTGAGACGTCCTTTTGTAACTGAGTAACAATGTAACTCAACCTTTTTACTTATTTATGTTTAACCGTAGACATGCATTCATGTGGAATAGTCGCGAGACTTTTTTTAAAGAGGGTCATGCATTGGGATGTTTAACCAGTTCCGTTTATGAGTGTACGTTTTCCGCTCTTTGCCTTCATCCATCCGTACCTCACCGGCGTGGTGAAGTATGGTCAAATAACCCCCATATTTCATATTGATCGAGCATATTCACTCAAGGCCCCATGAATGACCCACATGATGGCCTGAAGACACCCTGATCCAGCAGTGGATAACAATAGCCTATCATCATCATCGCTTATTATTTACACCGCGCCTCCCATGCTGTACACCTTGGGGCGCCCTGCGGCGGTCTAGCCTAGGGGGACACTAAGTGGCAGCTGTCCCTACGCAGGCATAACGGTGAATCCAGTGCACAGGCTCGCATGTCCGGCGATGTCGCTACCGCGCGGGTAACCTGACAGTCCTTGTGATGACGAAATAGGAAAGCCGACGCGGTTACAAACTCATCGGGCGGCCGATCCGCTTGGAGATGCGAGCAGCGTGGAGTGGGGGTGGCACAGTCGCACAGAAAGCAGCGCCCCCCTGGCGAGTGGTGACCCTGCTGACCGAGCTGAACTCTCCCTCGTCGAGTAATCTTCCGGCATAAAATTGGCAAATGATTTGTTCAAATTTTTGGCGACTTCGAACTGTGACACCGGCGCACATGGCCCGCTGTTTTTGTCGAATGCCCTCACGGGATCTTTTAAAATCCGCGGCGGAGCAAATGCCATGCTATGGACAGTTAATGCACCTACAGTATTAACCAGGGTGGCCACTGGTCTCGAACTGTCGCCACCCTAGGTGTACAAGGCTTTCGAGTGGCTGTTCCTTGAGCTATCGCCTCAAAAAATGGCTTTATTGGTACAGCCCATGAAGCGTTTAATGTCTACTTCACAAATGTAAATGAACGCTGGCGAGGTCGTTGTGGTAAGTTCATATCGTTAAATGCCTTTAAAAGAATTGTATCGTAGTGTGTTAGATGGAGAATATCGTTTGGGAAAAAGAAGCTATGTGCTATAAAACATCGAATAATATGAGAAAATACATAGGAAGCTGCCCTATGTCCGTGGTGGACCTACGTATGTTATGTTGAACTTCTTTTGCACCGTACGTAGCCGACCGTGCCAATTGGAGGGGCCCATGGTGGGCATTGCCGAATGGTGGACACACGCAGCATTTGCCACGTGGTTCTGAGCCTCGGGTTGTGGTGCTAAGGGCTGTGAGTCTGACAACTGCTGCCGGGGCTGCGACAGCTTTGCTTTCACCTGCCAGTGGCACTCCCTCTCTCTAGAGACTGCAGCTCGTTGGATTTAATTGAATACGCTTGGAACATTCTGGCAACGCTTGGACCAGCGGTGGTTAGCTGTAGGATAGAGGTGACGGGGGGGGGGGGGGGGGTGCTTCCACTTCCAATCGCACGTGCGTCGCCGTTACGTTGCGTTACGTCGCCCCCGGGGGGAAAGCCGAGCGGACCTCGCGAGCACCCTCTGTCTCTCTCTCTCTTCCTCTCGTAAGTTGCTGACCACAATTTACGTTCCCTTCTGAGAAGCCGTGAAGGTGATGGATGGGCGTTCCCCGGCAGACAGGCTCTCACCTCGTGCCCTCTCTTCCCGGATGAGATTAAACCAACGGCGCGTTCATTCATTGCATTCCCGGGAAACGTTTCATCCGCTCGGAATGCGCACCAGTTGGTGACAATTCCTCGCGCTT